ACCATAAAGCCTTGGCTTGGTTAAATGGTCCCCTAGGTTACTAGAAGAAGAGGACGGTGCAATACGCCGTTAAATCTGGCCTTGGAAGAGCCATTCGTTATACTTATCATACTCGGACGTAATCGGATGTGAACTCGATTCAGTCATAAAAATAACTCATGACGTTTGCGTTTTTTATTACCTGTTCGCTGTCAGCCAATCTCTGGGCATAATTGTTTACACAAGTTGTAGCTTCAGTGATTGTTTGCATAAGCAGACGATCGAGGTAGCATTTCTTTATTTTAAAGCGAACGTTTTATTAAAATCGTTATAATGTATATATACTTGTATATTAAATAAATGCATATTTCTGCACTTGTTGCGATGAATGGATGACTCCACAGTCCTGAAGGAAAACAAAGGTGCTTTCTTCATTTAATATAGTTGAATGAGTTCAGTGTGACGGAGTGGTAACATCAAAAATAACTGAAGTACTGAAAATTGGTCACAGTCAACTTTAACCATGCGTGGACAATATTTTGTACAACATTAGAGTATTTTAAATTATGTCATATGTTGAATAACGTTATCGGTTCGGAATGCCGGAAATATCAACAAAATTTTTCCAGGCTTCTAACCGTCTAATAATCTCTATCGTACAAGCTTGTTTATTTTTTCTCAAAGTGAATTCATTAAAATAGTTCACAGTGCTTTCTTCAATAATTAAGGATAACAATGCCACCTTCCTATTCGTTAGACTGGTTTTTTAGCCAAAAATGAGGGGAGGGGGTATTTATTCCTAGACAGATTTTTCTCGAGAAGTTTAAACTTAGTATTTGTATTTGCTCCTTTTTCGGTTGCAGTTGTCTCATCACCTAATCAGCGTTTTACCTCATTAAATCTAGATTTATTCGATTTCTAAAGACCGATAATATTTTGAGCCAGCCAGTTTGTCTATTTTTTTCTAAGAAAAAGGATACGAAAGTTATCCCCGTAGTGACATCCATCATCATAAATGATGACGCACGTTTTCCAATGAAATTATCGTTAGCACAAACATTAAATATGTAGCCATGTTACGTCAGATTTGCGTAGTTCATGTGTTCCTCGGTTGACCAATCAGACGGCGCGGCGTAGATGACCAGTGACCTTTGTCCGTGACTTGAATGCTTGTCAGCGCGAAATTGTGTTGGTAGGGATATTGGTTTCAGTTCAGCTTCTGACATTAATCGATTTTTGAGTTTTCTGTTGTATTGACCTCTTTGAAAAGGCAGTAAGCAGGAATAGCTTTAATTTTAATTGAAAACGTGGACAGAGGTTTTAAACACGTCACGCGATGCCTTTGCTTCATTTTTACGTGTCAGACATTCGTTCGTCTGCCTCAGAATTATCACCTCTCTGCAGTTCCAAATACGTTCTTTTTTGCCAGTTCAGTGCTACTAGTCTAACTTGGAAGTTATGCATTTTACGATATTGATGGGTGCAGCTTAAATCTTATTAAATAATCTGTTGAAAAGTTTGTATTAAATTTATTGTTAAAAAACCAGTATACGTGTCTGTTCATCGACTTTGCCACAGAGGGACTGCAAAGCAGTTTCGAATAGAAACATTTTAGGCTATTTACAGTGACGATCAAACAGCGTCTTAGCTCGGTAGTGGTTGTGTTCTTCTAGACTCTCCTGATTAAATGCGATATTTCTGTACATTTTGTTTTCGTAACGCAAAGTATATGATCCCGTATCACACTATGCAGTTATGCTCGTTTTAACTGATGTACACACAAAGATAAAACAGATTCCGCTGTTGATAACATAAATTACCTCTGCCAACTACGCTTGATGTATGTATAAAATTTTGACTGACGTTAAAACAAAACTTTTTATGACGTTTACGATTAAGTGACGTATTCCGGTACCGTTCTCTACTCTAATTTTACTGTATTTTAGGTGCTACAAACAACAAGGTTTGGTCTTGAAAATGGCGGATGATCTTGACAGTTTTTTCGCGTCAAAGAAAAAGCAGGGTAAAAAGAAACGTGACCTTCGAGATCCAAATGCGCTGGGACGATGTCTGGAGATAACCGTCCAGCAGCAGGAGATAATCGATATGATTAATCAGGAATGGGAAAATAAGCAAAATGAAGGGGAACAGAAAATAGACAAAAACGTGAATCTTTTTAAAATTTTTCAGTGTATCATTTTTTTGTACTGACGTCAAAATACTTTTCCTCCACCACTACGGTATTTTATTTGTTTGTCACGATTTCAAAAACAGTTAACAGACCAAAGAAACATTTTTTGTCCCAGTGCCTTCCAGACTTCTATGATCTACTCCCTCTACCGCGGGTGTTTCTGTCGTTCAACCGAATGCTTTTTATTTCATTGTATGCGAAATTTTTTAGATTATTCTCTGGTTTAATTGCTTCTACAGGTCTTTGTCTAAAATTCATTCACCTACGTTTCAGTTCAAAAAATTCATCACCTTTGGCTAGAAATCATCCTTCGAGTGTCGTCTTATGCAGTTGACTTTACCGACGTACTAATGATCATCTGTTGAGGAGCTGGGGGTGGTGCAGGAACCTGCTCCCATTGGTTGAAGCGTTTGTTGCCCCCCCCCCACACACACACACTCGCCATCGCACCTGTCCCATGAGCAGAACCTCACTGATTCGCTTTTCTCAGTCGGTGTGGTGACAGTGCATAAGAGATCTGCTTCAAACTCTAGAGATGCGCGTTCGATTTCGGCGGGCGGCAACCTTTAGTGACGAATTTCCTTGAACATGGAATTTACCACACATTGCTTCATACCTGGGTTACTCAGTCAGTAGAGCGTCGAACTAAGAACCGAGCGGTCACGGGTTCCAACCTTTGTCTGTGCCACTCTTTTCTTCTTTCCGATGTTAATTATTCTGTGGGGAGGAAGCAAATACAACACCCTGTGCTTGCCATGTACCTGCCGTCGACTCTGCGTTTAATATGAAGCACTCGTAGCCGATGGGATGGAAATGGATATCAGCGCCCTCACCACTGCCGTCATGAAAACAAGGGTGCTATAAATGGTCCCATTATGGATTTGTAATGGAGACCGACATTCCAGCGATTACAGATATTTTTCCTGTTTCAAAATGAGGGCTGCAGAGACATAGACATTTATTCTTGAGGTTTGGCATCCAGAATTGACTACCGAACAACATTTACCAAGAAACCCCCAGAATTGAGAAGATTAGACGAGTCTTGAATTGGGTTCGTGGTGCGCCCACAGCGAGGACAAGTCAGACGAAAAATGTAATTATATTCAAAGATGGGGCCATGTGGACCTGTTAGGTAAAAGGTCATTGCCATTGTGTTGGAATGTTTACCAGGACTGCTGATGTCATAGCCATATCCCGAGACCTCGTTTAGAACAGTAATTGTAATTGATTTGCAATAATTGGTCATGATACAAGATTTGTAAATGATGCAGGTTCAGCTCAAAATTCATTTTATAAATGCCTTTGCACGACATGATTTTAGTTAATTTTGTTATATGAGTAATAGTTTCGAATTACAGGAGGATTCGGAATGGATCGAAGTAAAAGAACCTGGCGACGTCGACCTAAAGGAACTCACCATCAAAGAACTGGATATTGAAGACCAAAGTGACATGGATGACAGCGGGAAAGAAGAAGCGTCTGACAAGCCGAAATCGTGGAATATGACGGGCGCACCCAGTTCGTTTTCTTCAACTTTCTTATATGGTTTTGTTTTCAATACGACTTTATTTCAGCTGAAGAAGTGAAAGAAGAGGCAGAACCTGCACCGCCTCCTCCACTTTCAGAGCCCAAGGTCTACGTAGCGCCTAGTCGCAGGACCGCTACGATGAACGATCGTTACAGAAAGGTTGACGTAAGCAGCGCAGTGGATTTTCCTAGTTTGGCAGTAGCTGACGAAATCGCCAAAAAGGAAACGGAAAGGAAAAAGAAACTGTATTTGTTTTTTTTTGTTTTTTTCTGTTTTGCTGGTAATCATATAGCTTTAGAATGGCTCTTAAAGAAACCGCTCTCCCGTATACGGCAAGGGTTACTCAAAGGAGTTACAGAAGAGAAGAAAACGATATTTCGTCAAATGCTTCTCGATCGTCTGATGAGACTTCCAAACAGCCATCGAAACCGCTCTATATACCACCAGCTCGCAGGCATATGGAAGCATGAAACTGCATAATGTGAACTTTTTTTTCGCGAGCAAACTGAAGCCTGTTTGTGAAAACCGTTGACAAAGACAGTAAGCCTTTAATACTTTCATTGCTGGTGCAAAATAGGCTTGTTCTTCGTTTTATCTTGAAGGGTTTATGTTTAGCTGTATTGAATAAAATTTTGAAGTATATCGTCAGTTGGTGATGTGAAAGTGCCACAGTCGGTTGTGTTCATACAAAACATGGCAGGTACAGTTAACCGTCATAGATGGAAGATGGATTCCCAAATATACGGAAGTGGCAAAGTTCATTCAGTAAAACACATCATGAACAACTGTCGTGTTTACTTCCTGTCGAGACAAGGCCGATTCACTTGGCCGCGCGGGCTACAGCGGAGTGGCTATTTTATCCGAATTTATGATTGTGCGAACATTCGTCCGATGCTGTGCCCTACAAAAGAGGAACAACTAACTAATAATCTGCCAGTGAGGATAATTCGATGGAACCAGGTCGGCAGAACAGGCAGTGTGGATAACCAACTCTTAAATCTGGTTGAGCTCTCG